TTTAAAACACGATAGATAGAAATCTCAAAACATTCCGTCAAGTGAGGCTAGATGTTTCGAAAAGAGAGCACACATTTAGCACCCTCCATGTGTCGTCAATCTGAGTTATGCATGATTTGTTTTGTTATACATACAACAATGTCATACACGGTGAAATGTTCAATACAATAGTATTTTCCGTGGACTCGTGTGTTTGTATATAGTAAAATCGACAATATTTCTCTATAATACTCATTTAATATCTCCGACCTGTGATGTTGTGTTAACACAATCAACCCGAGTTGTGCATGAAAGATTGGATCTAGGCCTTCACGACTTTGGTCAATATGCAGATATATACGATATACGACGTGCGCCACACAATAACCTACAGTAGATTTTTTCCAATGCAATACTTCTTACATTGTGATTTCATTATGGCCCAAAGATCAGGTGCACAAGTACAAGAATTGTTTGCATTGGTGTATGTCCGTCTTACAGTGAATTAAGTATAGTAGTATGTGTTTAACATAGATGTATAGGCCGTAATTGTAATACTGACGAAATATAAATGCAAACTCTAATTCACACAAGACATTGATAAATCATCTGTTGTATGTAGACGATAATCCGTGTGCAGTCAATCCATGTGCGAATGGCGGGACCTGCATAAACAACAATTATATTTCATACACCTGCATCTGTCTACCACAGTACGCCGGTGTGACATGCGAGACAAGTAAGTAAACAGGCTGCTATCAAAAACATTCTTTCTAATTCTTAACTTAAGATTCTTCACTGAGAAGAATATTTTACGTAAGCCGGCATGTTTTAATTTAATTTAATTTAATTTAATTTGCATGGTATCTTCACTGCTACTTAATTGTATTGTAGGTCAGCCGTGTGCGAGTTACCCATGCATGAATGGCGGTACATGCACAGAAATGCTTAATGAGTACTTCAGCTGTGAATGTCCCATGTATTACTCCGGCACGAGGTGCCAGAATTGTAAGTGACAGTACGTTACGCGCACAAGTACATCGGTGTTTTTGTTTTTCGTGTTGAGTTTATTAACTAAACGTATATGTATGCATGTTCCTAACCTTGTTATATGTCCCCTTGATTCGTATTTCTTCTAGATGATGATCCCTGCCTTAAGAGAAGGAGGAGAGAAGTCACATCTGAATTTATTAATGATATTGCATATTCATTAACTGAACAACAGTGTCACAGTGTCATGAAACAGTGCCAAATTATAGGTTTGCATCGGGTCCTCACCAATTTGACTAACAAGCAAACTGTCTAATGTAAACAAATTCTCCAGCAGACACGCACCAACAGGAAGTCTATACTATAATTGTTTCTTTGGACTGTAGATTGCCATGTCCTCAAAATAGTCGCAGTATATACAATCCTGGTGTGTTTGATTGCTGTTTGGTTTCTCCTCCTAATGAATAATTGATAAACACTCAATTAAAATTACTTAGATGCATTTCTGTCGCTCATACTATTAATTGACCTATTAAATTCTCGTCACATCTTTTATGATCCATTCGTGACCACTGGCTGTTTTGAAGCCTTCCTTAATCTCTTTCCTGTCAAGTGACTGGCGTATTTCCCGTGATACAAAGGGCACTGCCCCTCCACTTGCACCTGCTGACAACTTGTCTCATATTCTCTTTGTAGCATTAATGGAGCACGAGTTAATTTTGTATTAATCTTGTGTGTGAATCGTTCTGTTTTGATGTGTTCTTTTTTTGCACAGCTCAAGTAATCAGTTGAGTGTTTTCCAGTGACGTGGTGCACGGAAATTTATACCTTAATTCTCACGTTATGCGTTCCCCGACTACTCCCAATTGCATGCAAGTTTACGTGAAATGGTTCAAATTCCCGTTTAGTAAAGTGTAACCCCCAAAAGTTTCGTTGTTACCCAAAAACGTTGTTTGCAGGAGACCTGTCTTAAAACAAAGATTCAAAGCGGCAACAAATTTCGAACAAAAACACGTAATTGTGTGAGTGGCTGTATCCGAGGGAAAGCATATTAATACTGTATGCAAATTAGATTAGCTCGCTTATTAATTTGAATTTTTAACCCAACTTTTCCGCTATCTTCCAGATTTAGCACAAACAACACATATCTGAATTGTTCCAGAATATGTTCTATCGTTGTGGAATGTTGGCACACCATTATAATTTCTTAAATACGGCTCTGTAACATAATAAATTGTAATAGTTACGCGTGTCTATTACAACAATTCACGGCGCCTCAACAATCCACAATGACCTGGTAATGAACACACCATGTGTTCACTGTACACATTTACCAATAAATGTAATCTTTTTTCACGTTCCAGTCAGTAATCCTTGTGACAGTTCCCCGTGTAATAATGGTGGTACTTGTCTGGACACGTCACAGGGTTTCTATTGCGTATGTCCACAGGCTTACACAGGAGCCCAATGTCAAACATGTAAGTGGGATGCTGATTTGTTTTTACCCCCGTCAATGAAATAACCGTTCATCCAATCAGAACTGACACGCCGCTCAGTGTATCGCTAATACGGTTATACGTATAATATTTTATGACGATTGCATACAATTATTAGATATATAATTATATTCATAGGCTATGTTTAATAACAATTATCAACAGAACTATTTTAAAGTGTTAGTCGTAGCATAGTCCACTTAGTGAAATTGCATAGAAGATGGCATTTGTCACGAGCATGCATTAATATAATATTAAACCAATGCGCACTATCTTTTATAAAAAAAAAAAAACATTTCTAAAATGGCCAACAAATGGTGTGTTAGGGCGACTGACATATGAGCCTTTGTCCACATTTGAAATATATACATTTGTTTAATTTGACTTGCATCATTGTGTAAAGACTCTCACTTCATGTGAATCTTATAGACGTGAGCCAGGACCCATGTATCACCAATCCTTGTCAAAACGGAGCCACGTGTGTGCCATATCTGGGAACATTCCAGTGCGTTTGTCCATTCGGATATACTGGAAATCGCTGCGATCAAGGTAGGTGGTTCTACAAGACATACCAAATGATAAATTCGAACGACAGAATGTTACGTTCCTCGGCGTGCAAACAAGTAAACAATGCAAGTGTGTAAAAGCTCCCGCGCGCGTACTACGTAATGTTTCAATTTATTTTCTCTCATCTGTAATGCACTCTTCATTGATTTCGCATCTTAAATGAATTATTTTTTTTATTTGTTTATTATCTATTATTAGAATATACTTTATTTTTTGGCTTGATGTACGCCATGTTTTATGTTTTTAAACGTTTACATATTGGTGAAGGAGACATATACGACACCATTTTATCATATGCATGCCTTCCTCTCTCATGTCTTTTGTAGAAGTAAACTTGTGCGATATGAACAGTTGTTTGCATGGCGGAACGTGCGTGAACTTTCGTACTACATTTGAATGCGTATGTACATCGGGATATACCGGTCTTTTATGTGAACAAGGTACATTTTCTATTTTTAGTATCATCTGCGCATTCTCTGCACCTACATTCAGAATGCCGTTGAGCATGACGTCACGTCTTATGAATATACCCAACTCCAAAATAATGCACATACTATGTTTACTAGTTCGTATAGGATACGCAAGCACCCACTGAACACACGATTGATTTTTTCGTACATAATTCAATCAGTTCATTATTTTCTCGACGCATCCTCTATGCTAACCACAATAACGTATCATTTGGTTATTACGTTTTCTTCAATGTGACTTTTATATGCACACATTTTTATCTGATCATTTCGATGGCGTTTCGTTTTTTTTTTAGAAATCAATCCGTGTGAAAGTCAACCGTGTCAAAATTCTGGAACCTGTTCCATTGTAGGGTTGATTTATCGATGTCAGTGCGCAGTCGGCTGGAGTGGACCCAACTGCGAAACATGTAAGTGCTGATCCATTTTTGTTGTTGACTTTTACATGTAGATGAATAGTTAAATTCAAGTCGAGCGATATCCGGATATTTGATAATATCTTTGAGTTAAAATCCACAGGAATAGATACTAATTAATCATCTATTTACGTAGTGACTAATCCATGCACCAATAATCCCTGTCAACATTCGGGAACTTGCATCAGCGATGGAACTACGTATACATGCCAATGCTCTAATGGATGGACTGGAACAAACTGCCAAATAAGTAAGTATGGTATTCCATTAACATAATCTTACTAGAGTATATTGTACTTCAGTTCGAGATTAAAAATGCGATTGAGGTATTTTAAGTCGTCAAAACCACAATACTAACCGATGTTGTGCACATATCATCATGTTGTTGAGAGGTAAGTATCTAACTGAAGTGTCGTTGAGAAAGACACGTGCCATCGTGAACAATGCGCACTCTTAGTCGGGGATTGCATTTATTCGCCAAATTGTGTACTGTATATAACAGTTTGTTGTGTCTCAATTGATGCGGAGGTCCACCTTTCTCTCTCAGTTTCCAATTTCTGTGCCAGCAACCCTTGTTTGAATGGAGGTACGTGTGATAGCTTAGAGTACATCTACACATGTCGATGTCCGAATGAGTATAGTGGAACCAACTGTCATCAACGTAAGCGACAATAACTCATTGTTATGTTTACTTCTACCGAGGGTGATAATGGTGAAACCCATCGCTTGCCTAGAGGGGCTCTCTTCTTCGGTGATTCGATACACGGTGTCTGGTTTTTGACTGAGGTCGAGTTTCTTCACTTTTAAGGATGATTTGCATTTCGCTGATATTCAAGGGTCGTCGGAAGTGAAACAATGCGGAAGTACAACAAGATCTGACAATCGCATGCTATATGCCTTGAACCTGCTGCAATGCATGAATGTGCACCACAGTAATAATCCACTAGGTCTTGAATATGTGTTCATTCCGGGGTTATACCACACTTCACAAAAAAAAGAGACAAACACACTTACTCATAATACCTATGTTTCCATGTTTGACAATACATGTATTTACTTCTTCGACCACTTTGGCAGTAGGTAGCTATTTTTTTCCAAAGTCGCAAACACATTTCGTAAAAAAAATAAATTAAAAGTAAAACACACAACTCAATTGTGTGGTGTACACATGTCGATACTCATTAAGCAAATGTGTGTGCAAATTAAACTGTGAAAATACGCACTTTTAATACAATAACGGTCAGCTAATCAACCGCCAGGTGTATACTGTTGTAGGGTCGTGATATAACATCTTGAAATGAACATGCATTGTTAAAGACTACTGTAAACTTTGCATGATTCTTATATTCCTTTACTTCAGCACTTTACTTTAAATAACATAATCGTTTTCTATTTTCTCTTCAATCTAAACTAACATTCTCGCATGGCAACACAAATCTCTCCCGTTGTTGCAGCGACCTCGTGTGGAGGACTAATGTCGATTCCAACAGCCGGTTTGCTCGGAATAAAATCACCAAACTCACCCTACAACTACTACAATAACGAGCACTGCGATTGGACCATAATGACCTCGCCGGGGAAAACCATCAAGATTGTGGTGATGGAATTCTACACCGAGGCCCCGTACGATTCGTTGGAGATTGGCTCTGGGACACGCGTTGGCGACGTTTCCACTGTGGTAACTCCCGATGCGCAACCGTTGACCGGGAACCTGGATACTCCATTCGAATTCATGACAAACTCTCATATCCTTTGGGTGAGATGGACAACCGATGGACACAAAACAGCTCCCGGCTGGACAATTGAGTTTCAATTACCT